TCGTGATCCGCCCGTCTCGGCCTCCCAAAGTGCTGGGATCACAGGCTTGAGCCACCGCGCCCGGCCTCATCCCTGCTCTTAAGTATTGAATTCGATGGCGAATTTCTCTGTGTGCTTGATAGAGACAAGTCATGGCACAGCCTGTGGGACGGCGTCTCACTGCTACCTGCTCTTGTGTTTAGAGTGTACAACTCAGCAGCACTGCTCTCTGGTCAGGCAACGTGCCCTTGCATTCACTGAAATATTTTCAGAGGATCATCAGAGGAGTCTTCACTCCCCTCCCGGGAACCTGAGAACTGCCCACCCCTCACACACCCAGAGCAGATTAGAGGTGGGAGAACTAGACCACTCCTGAGGTGATTTGTGGCCAAAAAAATGGAGTACTCTATTTTTTACTCTTGGATTAAGCAGAGTCATCAGAGATCTACATCTGGACCTTGTCACCTGGGGTTCTCAATGGAGTGACTGGCTGAGTGGCATTTAGAGCCCCGTGGCACAGCCTTCCTGCAGCAGCAGTGTCCAGTGCCGCCCTTCCCTGTGGGTTCCCCTCTCTGCTCCCGGGGCTCCTCATGCGGCAGCCTTGGCTGCCAGGCTAACGGCGCTTCCTGCAAGGCCCTCCCTCAGCATCTACTTCATGAGGTCCTCCTAGTCGTGAGCTGTCATAGTGCCCTCATTTTCTTTGACGCTCTTATCACAGTCTGCCTTGGGTACTCATGTGCCACATTTGTTGTGTTTATGTGCGTCTCGTTAACCACTGTACATCATATTGTTAGGGCCCGATGTGTTTGGCCTGTAGTAAGTACTTAGAAGTTATTCATTGAATTACTGATTGAGTTTAGTTATACTTTAAACACTGAACAATATTTTAGGAGTATTTAAACCAGAATTGTGTGGCGGACATTGCTTGATTTTTCCCAGCTTATTCTTTGATTACAGGTTCACTAAACAAGGATTGATTGCCATGGCTAATTTCTTTAGTAGTCCAGATTCTGTGCTTTTCCCTTTGAAACACAGATTAAGTAGATTTGGTTTAATAAGTAACTGTTGGATTTTGAAAATATTTTATAATCAGAAAGAAGGATAGACTGGAAATTTGGTTGGTAAGAGGACAGGGAGACCCAGGTGTGGCTGAAGAGGTAAGTGGGAGTGAAATGACGACGTCCATCTGAGGTGCAGAGAAAGTGAGGAGGCAAAGAGGAGAGTGTTTCTGGCATTGAAGAGTTCCTGACTTTTTGGTGGGAGAAAGCTGAAAAGTATATAAAACATTTGGAGTGGGGATATTTATGTGATGTACTTGAGTGTGAAAATGGTAACCGAAAAATAATTTTTACTGTGTGTGGTGGCTCACACCTGTAATCCCAGCACTTTGGGAGGCCAAGGCGGGAGGATTGCTTGATCCCAGGAGTTTGAGACCAGCCTGGGCAACATGGTGGGACCCTATCTCTACAGAACATGTAAAAATTAGCTGGGCGTGGTACATACTTGTAGTCCCAGCTACTTGGGAGGCTGAGGTGGGGGATCACTTGAGCCCGGGAGGCAGAAGTTGCAGGAAGCCGAGATCTTATTACCACTGCACTCCAGCCTGGGTGACAGAGTGAGACCCTGTCTGGGAAAAAAAAAAAAATAATTTTTAACTAAAATAGTGACACAACTTTTTAAGGAAACTTTTCGATGATACTTTTAATATTTATAAAATTAATACATACTCAGGGTAAAAATTCAGAGAGTGTGGAAAAATGTAAGGAAAAAAATAAAAACTACCCCGATCCTGTGACCACACAAAACGTTTTAGGTTTCATTTTGTTCCTTTCCTCACCATGTAGGCATTCCCTGGATCCTTGCTGACACAGTGCACCTGTGTCTGCTTTAGCTAGAATAGAGACAGAATGATGGGGGGTGTGAGTCCTGAGAGGATGTGGAGAAGAGCAAGCCGGGCGCCAAGCTGGAGGTGAGCTTGGTGTGTTCCAGGAATAGCAGGAGTGAAATGTGGGGAGCGAGGGGCTGGCTCCCTGGGCTGGGGCCAGGAGTTTGGGTTCTGTTGTGAGTGTGATGGGGGGTGAGTGAGTAGAGTGATGATAATATTTATATTTTAAGAGGATCACTTTGTTGGGTGGATAATTCACTCTAAGGGGGCAAAGGTGGAAGCCGGTGACCAGCTCCTCAGGAGACTTCCTGTAATGGGATGGTAGCTGTGGAGTGATCATATTTGGGATTTGCTTTGAGGAATAGAATCGACAGGATTTGCCGATCTAAGTAAGTACTTAATAGTCTGAAAATGTCTGTATTTCCCTTCGTGCTCCTGTTCCTGAGCTCTTGGATCATTAGTCAGATAGAGACATTTCGGTCTGAAGTGTTTTTCCTCTGCCCACTTTGAAGGTCTTCTTTCATGGTGGTTGAGAAGTCTGATGTGAATCCATTTCTTACTCCTTTGAAGTTGTATCTGGTAGCTTTTAGGATTTTTAAAAAATCTTTTATGTTCTGAAATTTTGCAATAATGTGTCTAGGTGTGGAACTTAAAAATTTACCTGAATTAACACTTAGATTAAGCAGAGTCATCAGAGATCTACAGCTCTTCAATCTGAGGACTTTTTCTTTTTTTAAAATTTATTTTTTTTCAAAACTAGTGACATACTTGGAAATTTTTTTTTTTTTTTTTTTTTTTTTTTTTTTTTTTTTAAAGACAGGTCTTGCTGTGTTGTCTGAGCTGGTCTCAAACTCC